TGATTTGTTATTGTAGTAAGGATAGAGAATCGCAACGATGCGGTTCAAGGCTCACATTACGCATACGCCATGTTGAGAAATCTGAACTGTAACGCGAGCTTTGCTTTTTGCTACTCACACAGGCATCTAATTGAAGTGCATTAAAAATTTATTTATATTAATAGCACGCATACACAAAACCGACATCGCCACATTCCCATTCCCATTTCCACTCCCCTATCCGACTTCCACTCATCACTGTACTCCCTTGGGCTATACGCATAATTCATTGCGCGTTAGGTTTTTACGAGGCCTGTTTTTGAATTGATGACTGCAGTTACTTTTAATTTCTTAGCGTTAACAGCAACTCATCAAGTTGAGTGTTTAAATTTCATTTATGCCCACCATTTTGCATATTTATTTGAGTTTTTATTTGTTATTTCTAAGTTTGCAATCAACTTGAGTGTCTCTCCTTTTAACATGCGAGCTTCAAGCGTGACTCACGTTGCTCATCTTAATGAATTCATAATGGCCAACAACCTGCATGGCCATAGCCAGTCATAACGGCCAGCATAATAAATTCAATTCAATTAAATGATGTAAATGCTGCATGCGCCTTGGGGCGTTATTTATTTTGAAAATACGGAAGTGCAAAAACTGCAAAAAGCCAAACACACCTCCGGCTGTTGTTATTGTTTTTGTCTAAAAACACTAGTAGACAAAAAAAAAATTAAGAATGATGTTGGCTAGTAAGTTAAGTTTTATCCACCATATTTTTTTTGATAATAAATGAACCTCTCTTAATTAGTTAAGCCTTCGATTTTGTGATAAATCAACTTAAATAAAAAGTTGGGATTAGAAATATCACATGCCAATTATTTCAACATTTGTTGGACCTGTCGGGAGAATCTTCTATTGATTTCACTGGCTAAGGTTCCAGAAGGCACATCTGCAGATGGGTACCGTACGGGGCGATGATTAAGATGGACCCTAAGGGTTCCTTCGGATCTAAGGTTTCCTTAGGCCTTTGGAGTTCCGTAAATGTCGTGGACAATTCTTGTTCAGGGCTTCGATTAATAAATGTTTAAAAGTCATTTTCTTAATTTTATCTTCTGAGCTAATACGGCCTTTTGTAAGTTCTACACGCAGCTGATATAAACATATTTTCGCTTCTTATTCCTTCTGATGAAGAATTGTAGTGGACGGCCTGTTCATCGTCTCAATTATGTTCAATAACAATGCAGCGTTTGAAACATTACGAGAGCCAATAGCGAAGCTTCTATCGATATTTGTTCCTTCTCTTTCTGTAGAAGACAGACCTCAGAAGTTTAATGTTGTCTTCTGTTTTTTTTGGTCCATTTTCTTTGTACTCTGAAATTGTTGGACTCGGACAATCGTTCACTCCTACAACTGGTTTTCTAAATAGAATATTTAAAAGCGGGGGAGTCATTAATAACTGCAAGTTGAAGTGAGACTCATTTAATTAAGCTGAATTTTCGACAAAAAAATATCCATATCTAAGCAAAACAATAAAACATTCTTTATGATGCATATGTTAGTATTCAAATAGTAATTGATAAAAGCAACCAAATCGGCCGATCGCAACAGGGTTTAAGAGATAACAAATCAGAAAAGGTGAATAATATCTGTGCTATGTAGCACTAATATTCGAATATTCCGCCTTGCAGTCGCTTAGTTTCAATTAACAATACCTCTTCGGTTATGGTTTAACTCACTAATTGAATATTTAATAAAAGGTGATTTAACATTCAGCAAATACCTATTTTTATTATTTAAATATATTGTTTTAAAGGTCAACAAATTGAATTAAGGCATTTTTATAGACTATTGGCATATGTTATCTTTAAAAGCAGAAAGTTTTGTATCAAATGAGACGCCAATTTAAAATTTTTAAATAGTATGTACGTGTATATACTAAGCTAGATTCGAACAAATTCAGCTAGGGAGGCGGTTTCAAATAGGCCAGCAACATCCTTTTGCAGACCAGTGTAATTCAATTTGTAGTTTGTAGTTTGCAATGTTGCTGCTGTGGCGAAGACTACGAGTATACGGGTATGCGTGTGTGGTTCAATTAAAGCGTTACACACGTTGCTTGCAAGTGTTTGTTGGTGTGCTTGGGTTATTAATTAAGACCCGTGGCTATATGGCTGTTCTAATTGCAAACAGCGTAAACGGTAACTGTTAATATTTATGGGTTTTTAATAGCGCATATAGAGAAGATATTGAGTGTGACCACAGCTGGTGGAGGGTGGTGGAGGAAGAGGAAGAGGAAGGTGTTAGGTGCAGGACGAGTAGGAGGGTCCGTTTCAATTAGTGCCATGAGCTGTGCATTGTCTGTGCACAGATTCTATTAAGAGAGTAAGTTATACGCATATATCATGCCAAAGTTGCGTGCTTTGCGGCACTTTACGGTTTTGGTATTTTGTATGGAATAACTGATGAGTTATTGTTTTGTTTGAAAAGAACAACAAAAACAAACAATAAACATACAGCATATGAGTTTAGAGTTACATTTCGAAAGTTAAGTTACATTGATTCGCATACTTAAGCTATAATGTCACGTCAAACTTTCAACAATGTGCTTGTGCAGTTCTTCACATAATTTGGATGGCTTATTATGCTGCCTTTACAAACAACTCAAAACTGTCTACAGTTGTTTTAAGACAGCAGTGATTTTGGTAAGACTTTAAAACACAAATTTCTAAAAAATGTTCATATTGCAAACATAAAGAATGTATATACAAAATATAAACAATTTGTTTTCCATAGACTTATAAGTCGGTTGTGTGCAATCATTTTTAGCCATTTGTGTTTCGTGTCGATCTTTAGCGGCAATCAGGCAAAAGATAGCGACAGCACATATATAAAGAAAAGCAATTAAAATACATATATTTTAGAACAAAAAAGTTTGCGAACACTGTCATCAACGTTATATTTTGATATCGTTACCGAACTTATATATTTAATGAGCCATAAGTCATATAAAAATGCTTTTGGTAATAATAAGAGGACAACTTTTAGTTGAATGAGGTAGTAAATATCCCTGCTGATGACATTGATTGCAAGTTCTGCTGATTTCCATTTTATAGCTTAAGTTAGTCGAATCGAATCGACACAATTGCTATGTTACTTCAGTCTGAGCATAAATGTTTAAAAAACGTTTTATTTGAGACTTGAAGCCATATTGAAAAACACAACATCACACAAATTATTCAAATTTAAGGTTTTGAGTCTGTTTTTATATTTAAGGTAAGGACAAACGAACTGGGTATCATAATTGTGTGTAACTATTAATTTTTAACTTGTATAGCAGGAATTTTACTTCCATTACCAAACATAGAAAATTACAAATATTTGTATTAAAAAACAAATGAAATGAGCTTTTTAACAATCGAATCTTATTAACGTTGTGAAAGCAGAGAATCCAGATGTTATATCAGTAAATATTATGGAAAGTGAATTTATTATAAACGGCATTGTCTGCTCAAATAGAGTTCTTAACTAATAAGAAATTGTCCATGAAAGAGCTTTCTTGTGGTCAATTACACAAATATTACAAATATATGATTCGTATATTCATTTACTTATTTCTTATACAACTTTCTTAAATATTAATTAAAACATACATTTTTTCCTTTATCCTTATTTCTATAAACTTTATCTTTAGGGTTATTTTTCTCCTGTATGAATACTGCTTTCTTCAGCAATTCTTTTTTTCATAAACATTAAAATCAATGAAAATTAGTAATAAAATGATTTTATTTCATTTTAATTTAATTTACAAATTGAGATTTTGTAGAGTTTTTTAAAAATCTTTTATGTTTGTTTTGTTATTTGTTAGATAACAAGCTTTTTTCAAAATTAAAAATAAAATTTATTTTATATTATAGTATTTTATATTATAGTATAGGATTTCATTAGCGAACTGGCCAGCTACGCCCCGGTTCACAGTAGTCAGAGACGTTTTTAGACCTAACAAAAAAGAATTAAAGAAATTAAAATATTTTTTTTTTCAAATTATCGTCATATATCAAAGCAAAGTTATATTAAATTAACTTAAACAATGAAAATATAATTAAAACAACCCTCGTACGCGGCATACACACAAATCAAAACGGTTTCTATTCAGGCAGACCATTATGCTTGTATCATTGCCTGCTCAGCATGCTGTGAAGCCAACACATCGATACAAAATCGTTAATTAATAGAACATTTCTTTGCCCTTCGATTATGTAAACGAAATAGTGTAGCACAGTTATGTGCGCTGGATAATTAATTCTCATGTACGACATGATTGACTAGACTAAGCAAAAAAGGCAAGAGAGAATGGAAAAAACGTGGCAGAAATAACGGTGACAGCGCGTACAAACTGCGTGTTTATGCCGTTAGTTGTTGTTCTTTTTGTTGTTATTGTTGTAGTTATATAGTCTACTACATTAAATATGCATTAAGCGTTGATTGTATGAGGTGGAAAGTGGTGTGGAGTGGATCGTTAATTTGTATGCATATAGGGTTAGTGAGTTCTGTGTGTGGGTGTGCGTTTGTTTATTAGTGTATGTAAGCAGTTTTGTGGCATATAAATTAGTCAAATATTTTCCGAGGCCCAGGTTTAGGTTCAACGTCCCTTTTAGTGCTCGTTATGCGTACCACTTGGTGTTTTGCATTATGACGGTGGCCTCAGAAGCCACAACTAATGTTCACTTCAATTGCATTGCCGTCGTTTATGTTCTAAGCTCTCATTTATTTGTGGTCATTTAGCTAACTGCCAGTTGTAATTCAGTGTCTACCGCCTTATTATAAGTACAAGTGTATTGTTATTTGTGTGCTGATTGTGCGCGTCGTCCTTAATGTGCCGCACGTGCGTTTTATTCGATGCATAATGTTTGCTCGCTTTAAATTATGTAATTATAGCAATTTGCTCTCCACTTTCGTTCGCCTATTTACTCACCCCACAATGCCTCTCTGTATCACTATTTCTCTTTTCCCTTCTCTATTTACAGTTGGTTTCCAGCAATCCCAACCAACGCAATTGGCGCGGCATACTTATTGCCCTCCTGGTCATTATTATTGTGCTGGCCCTGATTGTGACATCGGTGGTAAGTCCTAATAGTACAGACACACACACACACTCACACATAACCACATATACCTACACCACTTTCTAACCACCCACAGTATTTAAATTTGAGCTGAGCATGGCCAACAAAATAACTTGAAGATATTTCTGGAGGGTTCTTTGTTAAGCCAATTTGTTCATTTGTATTTTTGTTTCACAATATTAAAAAATAAAAGGTTAGTCAACAATTGGATTAGTTTGCATATAAACGATTATTTAATACCTAATATATTAAATGGTTGTATTCAGAATGATCAAAATTGTATATCAGAGAGTTTGTATAAGACAAATTTTCAATATTTTCTAAGGACAATAAATATTTTTTTTTAATCAAGTTAATGAATAAGTAGGTTAATCAATATGTTAAATCAAAAATGTAAAAGCTGTCAAGTATTTTCCCTTACAACTTAATACTACGTACGTCTATTCTGAGATAACTTTTTAATTTTTACGATACACATTTAATGCTACATTCCAATAGTTTGCTTAGACCTGTCGTAGAGCCATAGCTATGTTCATCAGCATTGCAGAAATGACTTAAAAGCCGTATTAATTGACTTCTTTACATTATCTTTAAGTTTTTACATAAAACCTGAAATATATTCACAAGTTGCAAAAAAACGTGCAAAACTGATTTATAAAATTTAAATTATCTGCCAGTCTTTTAAATAAATACCTTTTAGAAACATTTAATGTTTATAAATATAAATTTTCGTTATTCTATGGAGAAATGTGCCTTTAGGCCTTTATTTTATTTTAGATTTAAGTTAGCTTTTGGACAGCACTAAAAAATTGTATTGATATGTAAAAAGTTTAAATGAACAATAATTATAGCTTATTAATATATATACACGTTACTATTTTAAAAGAGTCTATAAAGGGAATCTAGATATTTCTAACAAAGATTTTTATTTATTTACTATACATAATTTAACATTCATTTTAATGTGTGAAGAGTATTAAATTACAGAAAATTGCAGCCAACAAAATTTTATTTTATTTGTCAGCTTTTGACGAACAAATGTTTTTATTTTTAAAGCATTATTTCCTAACAAAGTTACAACTAAGCATACACAGATGTACATTTACGTTTTGATTATTTAGTAACTTAATAGGTATAGGTATTATATAGGCAGGCTTTGTAAAAAATACTGATATATGATATAAATTAGGTTCTAGGAATAAGGCATAACAGCAAAAAATGTGGATTACAAACTTTTGAAAATGTAGGGTTACTGAAACATTCTAGTAGGTGTCCTTGCTCAGCTCTAATCATCTAACAGGCAATGCACGATTCCCGTATATGACAATTTTCCAAATTCCTGCACCAAAAAACAAGCAATTTTGTTTCGATATGTAAATAAATATTTTAGTTTTTGACACACACACACACGCAAATACACATTGGAAGACACACCCACACCACCACACAGTTGCAAATAATAATAACAAAATTGAAATTGTGCTCGACGTTTTGTGTAAATATGTTTTACATGCTCTCATTTTTGTCTTTTGTCTGCTTTGTGTTCTTTTATTGTTGTTGTATTTTCCTTGTATTCTTTTTATATTCGCGTGTTTCTTTTATGTACTACTATATATGGTGTATATGTATGTAAAAAATTAAAAAAACAAAAAAATAAATGTACGTGCCTGCCCTCCACGCCCGTTGTCTGTCTGTATGTATGTATGTGTAGAAAACGACATATAAAATTTCTGCATTTATCAAAAAAGGTTCTGCTCACGCCCCCCGATGAAGGTCCACGCGTCAAGGGGCAGCGCATCAAGCTGCAGGATATTGTCGATGGCCTTTTCGTGCCACAACGCGCCAACGGCAGCTGGATCGATGGTAAGTGGCGCTCCACTTAGCGGCCTGCTACGGGCTTGCTTTCTCTGAGAGTCTATTTTAATTTCCGCCCCACGTTTCTTGCACCTGCAGCCGAGGAGTTTCTATACCAGGACCACTTGGGTCGCATCTGCCTGCTGAATGCAGCCAATCGTACGGAACGTGTACTCATGTCGAATGTGACATTCGTAAGTACTTAACATTTATTAATTCATTCGTTTATCTGGACATTGCACGTATCTGATTCATCCTAGCTTAATGTTCTATGTACAATATAAGTGTGTGTGTAGTGCTCTTACATTTGAGCATTTATTTTTGGCAAATGTTATCGCGCTCTTAGGTCACCTCGGATAAGCAGCCGTCGCATCGTACGATTATGCCGTTGTTTCTTATCTTATTATTGCACTCACGCATATGCAAAGCATTGTTGGTAGTTTAGTAAGTTCGGCTTCGGCTAAGTGCAGCTTCACGTTACCTAGCGGCGCGCCGATCGAACATTAGTACAACGACTATTGAGCAGTGCTGACGTTTATCTCTTTTGTGCGTATAAAATATAATTAAAAGATAAAGCACATGTACATATTACGCAACACCTAAGTGCAAGTGGTTCCTGATTTATTTAAGCCCAGAACCGGAGCATTTGGAAGTTCATTATTGTGCAGTTTTGTGAATTTTGGCCAGGTAAGGGAAGTTTGTTCAAGTCGGCCAGAAAGTCAAGTGATTTCTTTTATTCACAGTGCCTCGCGCCTTTGCTGGGCCACTAAAAACTGTTTTGCTGGGCTTTGAAACCTTTGGTAGAGCACCTGCATCGTGCCTGGAAACACGTTTTGGGCTGGTTTAAAATCGAACTTTGATTGTGCAAAGCTATCGTGCTTGGAAAACTCTTTTACTAGACTAACCATAAGTGCCTCGAAACCTCTCCGCGCTTTGTTTTTTCAACGGCTGTACTAGTTGATACCAGATTCCGAAGAACGGACTCCGCATTGCCACTCCAAAGACAAGCTGCTAGTTTTCCAACTATGTGTTAGGCACATACATACTACTTTATGTTAGTTTTTTTTTGAGGCAGAAACGTGGCCTATTTCAAAAGAATTTGCACATTCTATTAAATTTTGTGCTGCGACACAAAAGCCACTAAAAGTTACTTGCGGCAACCAAGATGTTGTAATGATTTAATGCTTGCATAATTTCATCTATAAAACAAGATAGAACGCTACAGTCGAGCAAGCCCGACAGTAAAATAGCCTGTACTCTCCACAAAAAAAAAAAAATTAAAAAAAAAATAAAAAAATAAATTAAATTATTAAAAAAAATGAATGAATGAATGAATTAATTAAATTAAATTAGAATACATGTTTATGTTCAGTTTAAACAGCATACATTTACATCACGTACCTATGCGTGTTTATATGCGTGTATGTATGCAGCACAAAGTTGAACCAAAGCAGCAACAACAACAACAGCTGCGGGCAGCGCTGCCGACAGAGCTGCAGGCAGCGCATGAGCAGCGATTTTACTTATGGCTATAGTTTTCTTCAGAATTGACCTATCATGATGAAATTTGGCACACCGACACATTAGTACTAACTGGATGTATCTACCAAAATTGATTTCAAAATTCCGAGAATTACGGAAGTTATAAGAAAAAACACGAATTGCGGGGGAGTGGGGGGGTGCATCGAAAAAAAACTCAAACTCGTACTTTCTCGGCCTTAGGAGAATATGGAAACCAAGTTTGGTTTTTCTAGCTCTTATACTTTCTGAGATCCTTGCGTTCATACGGACAGACAGACGGACAGACGGACGGACAAGGCTATATCGACTCAGCTTCTCATCCTGATCAAGAATATATATACTTTGTGGGGTCTGCCACGCCTCCTTCTGTGTGTTACATACATGCGCACAAAACTAGTATAGCCTTTCACCCTTTGGGTACAGGCTATAATTAGTTTTTTTATCTTAAATAATGATTTAGTTTAAATTCTTTTTTTTTCTTTTCTTTTGCTATCGAACATAAATTTCGCATCACTACAAGGTTAAAGTTAGGAAGTATTTAGGTAGTTTAAGATCATTAATATTATTTTTTTGTGCCAGCAAGTCCTCTTGAGTTCAACGACGGCAGTGCATGGTAAGTGATTTACATTTTTATTTGATCTTTTGACATCATACTTTCCAATCTGATCTAATTTGCAATTTACGTTCGATTTCACCTTTACCGTTGAAATTTAAATGAATTTTCTGTAATGTTTTTTTTAATAACGTACCTATGAACATTGTTTTGGAATATTACTTACTTTAGGAATTGATACGTTGCAAACTATTTAATATGCTTATAAGAGAATGTTTTTGAATTATAAATTATGATAATATATGCCTTTAACTTTGATATGAAGTCGTAAATTTCCTTTCGCTGGTCCATCACTATCTAAGATGTCATCGCCAAACCAAACTTAAAAGTAGCGTCAAGTTGCTATAGGGGCTACCGACCATGATTCTTATTTCCGGTATACCAAGGTAGGGTAGGTACAGAATAGGGTATAACAACATCTAATACCCTAGAAGCAATATACTCTACAGTAGTCTGTCTGTCCGCTTCTATCCTGATTGGGGGAACAAATCCGAACACTCAATTTGCTTGTTTTGATAGTTTTGTTTATTGCACTTAATTTCTTGTAGTGGTGTGTCCGCTATGGTAGGAGGAGAAAGAACCCCACCCCGTCCGACGAGCTAAGTTAGAGCAACGCAAGAAGTGCACGCCTCGAATCCTCCATAGCACAGGGAGAGAACGTAGTGCACACTCGTACTCACCCTCCTTCTTCACAAGTAGCTCCAAAATTTGGGGCTTGCTTAAAAAAAAAAAAAAAAAAAAAAAAAAACTGACACCTGCACGCTGCACCCGTGGCTCGCTTTGTGGGACATGTTCTCTAACACACATAACACCCCGCACACTACAGTGTTTGCTCGCTCCTTATCTGTGAGCAAACTAAATATTTGCGCCAAGTTATTTATGACTGCCAACGCAGCTGGCAGTCCAGTGGAGATGAGAGTGGTACGTGATTGTGCGTGTGAAATGTAATTGTTATTATTAATTTAGATTAAGCATATTTGTCGTCCACCAATTCGTTAGCTTATAGCCCGTTTTATGACTCCAACTAGCCAGCTTACTTAGGGTATTCCTCCAGCACATCTTCTTCACTTCATACATTGCATTCTGTCTCTATTCTCCACTCCATTCACCAATTCCTGCATCTTGCCCAATAATTTTACTGTCGGGCCTAACGCATCCATTCAATTTTTTTTTTTACCGATATCAGGGCCCTGAGTCGACTATAAACAATTATTAAATATAAAGCGGGGCGTTAAAGCGGTGTTGCAGTTATAGTATTTTCAATATGAACTGCTTCTTAGGATAAGGATCCCTATTAGGATAAATTGGAACAGAGCTAGGTATATTTACTGCCTCGATCGGAACAGACGAATTCAATATCGTGAGCCGCTTGATCACGTCCCCTGCCTTGGCGGCTTGCACGAAATAGCAGTCGCTGGGGGTGGAGACGCCTACACGCACGCTATCTGAAGTGCACACACTTGACTTGGCAGCGCTGCCAATTGACACAGACAACAACAACAACAGCTACAAAAACGATACAATGCTGCCAGCTCGCCAGTTGGCAATCGGGCGTAGAAGCGAACGCACAACGCACAAAAGTAGGCAAAACTTTTCCAAACCAAAGGAAACAAATGGCTGTGGGGAGGCATCGTGAACGGCGCCCATAACGATAAAAGGGAAAAGATTTTTATGTGAATGGCTTGGTAAACACGCGCCCATGAGTGTGTAGGTAAAGCGCTTTCTAATGAATAATGCGAGCGCTAAAATTGAAAAACAAACAAATAAAGGAGCCAAATGTTTATGATATAAGTGGATATATCTACAAGTATGTATTGGCTGGGACTCTAACTGGGTTGGAGTCTGAGTCTCATCCCGTTGCCAACTTTCGCCGCAGCTGCCAACTTTTGTTTTGTTTGCTCGTCTTTGTATGTGTATGAGTGCGTCTCGGAACTTTTTGGGGAGGCGTGGTAAGAGAGATGCTGTGGCAACAAGTGCGACAAATGGCAAATGGCAAAATTTCAGGCGTCATGCAACATGCAAAGCGATAAGTAGTTGTGTCAACAGTTTATAGACAAATGATTAATAGGCAAATGAAATGAGCAGCCGAAATGCTAGAAACACAAACAAAATGGATAGTGGCAACGATTTATTTATCCATATAATTGAAATGTGTGAATGCAAATAGCATTGCCATGGCATTTGAAGTGGCAAGAAGCAAGCTCTTTGCATTACAACTAAGAAAGTTCTTTGCTTGTCTATGTATCTATGGCATGCAGTTGTCATTGCCATTAAGATACTTTATATATAACAAAAATCGAATACATGTTAAGTCAAGTGGTAACTGAGTTAGCAGCTAATTGGTGCTTTTTCATTTTCTTTGCCAATATTTTGATGGGCTATTATACTTTTCAACTCAAAAAGCATTACGTTCGATGTAGCTGGTATGCACATATAACGCTTTGCAGAAAGTTTAAGTGAATGTAGATCGGTTGAGCTACTCTGAAATGGACAAATGTTAGGAGTAAGAAAACTCAAATTAAAAGTAATATTTATTTACTTTCAGGCGAATTTCGCATTTCCATGTAAGATTCTACCGTAAGGTTGTTTTGGCGTTTGGTAGGAACCTTTGCATTCTTGATTTCCATAAAAGCTGCTTGGTGGTGTTGGCTGTGATTCGATGTTCGGAACAATGGAATGAATGTCGCTAATTCATTTTAAATTAAGTGAATACGCGAAGCAAGGCAGGTGTCGTTTTTGAAGGATACTCCACGCCTTCACAATATTTGCGTTATCTGTCACAATGCATTATGGTCCCACAGCGGCATAAAATCGAAAAATTTCTGAAAATATTTGTGGGATATAAATACAATTTTAATAAATAGACAACCCAATTAGAATAAAACCTTTTTTTTGAGCTTTGTTGCAACCCTGTTAATTTGGCGCGCTCATGAACTTAGCTGATCGGTGACAGCCCTGGTATTTGCAAATTGGAGGAAACTTTTTGACAACTTTCGCTTATCATGAAAGTCGTTCTATTTGTGTAAAAATAAAAGTATAAGTATGGAAAGCAATGATCAT